TTTGACTATCTCATGGCTTATTTTTTATTTTTTGCTATTCTATGTCTGATTTTTCTCTCCTTTCATCTTCTTAAAAGAAATGGTTTGCTCAGCAGATTAAAAAGTGGTTCATTTGTCTATCTTTTCATCCATCTATCCATCTATCCTTCAAACCAGAAACAGATTATTTTTTAAAATTTTGAGTGTAGTCCCTTCAACTTCAACATGAGGAAGCCAAAGCCCAAAGCTATTGATTAACTCACTTGAATTCACACAGGCAGTTAGAAGTAGACTACAGGACAGACCAAGTTTCCCGGCCCCCAGTTTAGTCCTATCTGGTGTTGGTTCTTTCAGAAAGAACCCAGCAGATCCAGGGTTAGGTAGATAGAATCAGGAGGAAGAGCAGAGCTTAGCACTTGGAAAAGGACAGCTGGTGGCCAGGGCTGGGGATTGTTGACAGAGACTGGGCCGCCAGACTGTTCAGAGAGCCATATTTCACCAGGCACAAGATGAATCAAGCCTCCTTGGGCACTGCTGGTTCTGAAGTCTCTTGTTCAACATGCCAGTGGCAGAGAAGACAGTAGGCATCTGTGGGAAGTTTTCTCCAGCACAGCACAGCACTTTGAGACTTCTGCCAAAGCAAGTCATGCAAGAGCCACACGATATTTTGTCTGAAAGGGCTCATAAACTCCTTGCCCTGAGACATTCGCCTAATATCCTCCTGATGCTGCAGCTGAAGAACAGCAGCACATCAAACACTGTGGCGTTTAGGAAGAAGGTTAAGCTCCCATTAAACTGCAACATTTACAGTAAGAGACAAAAGCATAAGAAGACTTGCTGCACAGGCAAAACTGGGGGCTTAGGTTTCCAGTCAACAGAGTCTACGAACAAACACAACCTTTCCAAACAAACGGATGTCAGCAATAAACTCCTGCCATACACAGCAGCTAACAGGAGAGTCAGCTTAAGAATCACTCCTTTTCTGTGTGGCCCATCTCCTAGCAAAGGAAAAGATGAAATGCTGCAAAAGAGGACAAAGAGAAGGCCTATTTTGTCCTTTACTACGATTGTTATAGCAAATGCTTACATAGTGCTGTCTATGTGTCAGCTCCTGTCCTAAGGACTTTATATATATTAACTCAGCTAATCATTAGAGCATCTTTATGAGGGAGCTACTATTACTAGCTTCTTCTTACAGAGGAGAAACAAGGCACAGAAAGTTGAAGGAACTTGCCTAAGGTCACACAGTTAGTAGCGGGCAGAGGTGGGCTATGAACTCAAATGCTGCTGTTAACCTCCGTGCTAAGCTGCCTCTCACTAAGAATTAAGAACACCAGAAATGCCATTCTGGATAAGACCTATAGTTCAGGATCCATCCATCCATCCACCCAACCATTCATCCATCTATCTACCTACCCACCCACCCACCCACTAGGTAACAAGCATTGAGCTAAGCTCTGCAGGTATCATGGTGAGCAAACACAGATGCTGTCTCCAGCTTTGGTGGTATGTTCTTGAAGCCAAGAACTTCAATGGCAGCCTCATGATCCCCATCATGCCCACTCCCCTGACTGTGGCAGAGGTACTGGTGCTCCTGGAGGGCCAGGTGTGTGGTGATAGCCCAGGTCTGGGCTAATTTCAAGGGACCCAGTCTAGATCCCACTCCTCTAGCTTTCCCAGAGATTTTATATGTACTTAATTCCTTGTATGAAATCATGTTCTTCTTAAATTGGTGAGAGCGGTGTCTACTTTCTGCATCTGAGCTGTGACTGACACAATCTCCTAAAGGGCTAAAGGATTAAGGTTAAATAAGAGGTGATTCTTAGCAAGTGGTAGCAAGGGAAAGAGGAGTGGGTCCGAGAGCCAACTCTTGTGCATCGGAGCAGGAGAGAGGTGCACTGGGAGGGAGGCTGGGGCTGGTGGGGGAGATCCCCCAAGATCCAGGGGAGATAGCCCAGGTATGCAGCACTAGTCAGAGCTGGAACAGGAACCCAGGGCCGGACCAGGTCTACTACTTTCCTGGGTGTCCCAGGGAGCCCAGGACATCTCAACTAGATTCTGTGTAGAAACAGCATGGAGCTAGATAGAAAGCACCAATTTTTTCTTAGGGCCACAAGGCTAGGGACAAAATTGGGAGAAGAGATGGGCAGAAAGTTGCCCAGCCAAGACCTATCTTCAAAACTAGACACAGCTGGACTCTTATTCTAGCTTGGAAATTTGTCCTTTTCTAATTACACACATTTTGTGTCCCAACAAATCCTCTGATATATGATAAAGGTATATGTATTGTATTCAAGATGCACCCAACCAGTATTTATTAAGCGTCCATTATGTGCAAGATACCACTCTCAGCACTGAGGATATGGCAGTCAACAAACCAGATCAAAATCCTGTCCTCACAGGGCTTACATCTGTGATAAAAAACTTCTTTAAGAAGATGTGGTATATATATACAACGGAATACTACAGCCATAAAAAAAGACAAAATCATCCCATTTGCAACACCATGGATGGACTTGGAGGGTATTATATTAAGCAAAATAAGCCAGACAGAGAAAGACAAACACCACATGATTTCACTCATGTGTGGAAGATTAACACACGGACAGAGAGAATAGTTGGTGGTTACCACGGGGAAGGGGTTTGGGGGGTGGGCACAAGGGGTGAAGGGATGCATTTATATGGTGACTGACAAACAATAATGTACAACTAAAATTTCACAATGTTATAAACAATTATGACATCAATAAAAAAACTACTTTAAATTAAAAAAATATTGAAAAACCCAAACAGGTAAAATTACTCACGATCCCATCAAAAACTCTTTCTCCATATATGTAAATATAGAGCAAGAAGTCAGAATTCCTCCTTGTCTATCCAACTTTTCCTGTCTCCCACAAGGTAGCCATTATAAACTTTTCCTAAATTTTTAAAGACTTATTAAATATATATACCCATATACTTTTTATTTTTAACAAAAATAGAATAATGCTTTACAAAATGGTCCACAACAGGTATTTTTTTCACCTAATAGATTGTGAACCTCTGTTTCAGTCTGAGTTCCCCAAGGAGCAGAGCCTGAGACAAGGATTCAAATACAGTCCCTGCTAAGCACATTTAGGTCTGCCCCATCCATTTTAGTGGTTGTAGAGCATTTCACTGTGTCTGTATCATTATTTATTTGATCCTCTGAAGATACACACACACTCATCGCCTTGCCCCCACTTCCTACTCACTGACATTTAGGATTTTCAGTGAATGTGTTGATGTTGTTGACTCACTATAAGGGAAGTATATGCAATAGGGAAAGTTCATTTTCCAAAGCCCATGGCTGTAGGACAGGGTTCTGAGGTCTGGAGAAATGACAGTGTTGGCAGCAGGGAGACAAAATTTAGGAAACTTATCATTGTCCTTATCATGCCCAAGATTTACAGCTAATACATGGTGATGTGAAGTTGGCCAAGTGAGTCACCATGATGATCATAAAACTGAAAAGACCTCATTACTTTAGTGGTTTATTTTCCCCTTGCCAACTGTAGCAGCCACTATCTTCTTGACATTCTTTGGTCTAAATTTCATCATGTATCACCAGGTCTATCATGTCTTCTAGACCTTGTCCATACCGCTGTATTTAAGTTAGTGATTTTATTAACAACCGAACTACATACGATTAATTATCTGAGTGATTTCATCTGTAATTTGTGGTAGTGGTGTTCTCAGATCATTGAACAAAGGATGGGAAGTTATGTTACTAAGTTGAGTGCTGGTTTCTAAGGTCTTTCATGTCTTGCTGGGTGATTTCAAATGCCCATCGGCACCATCAATGAATATCTCTAGAGCCTCCATGAGAACCATGGTACAGTAGGGGAGGAGGTTTTGTGTTGGCAGCAAAGACCTGGCATCTGGTCCTGGCCACCTGTGTGCCTGTGGCAAGTCTCTGTCGCCTTCCTGGATTGGGATAATAATACTTCTCTAGCTTATTTGCTGTGAGGATCAAAGGAAGAGCCAAATGTAGGAGTACTCTTCAAGTATCAGCTACTTTATGAATATATGAGAGGAAGAACCTGGATTCTGCTAGGCTGCAGTGGGTAACCTTAGCTCTTGACTACACTTCCACCTTAAAGAGTCAGCACACTGAAGTTCAACCCCTCATGACATCGTAGTCCCCACCAATGACACATTCAACTCTCCAAAAAGCCTTAGCAAATAGAGCAGATTTTACTGAAGATTTCATGGGGAGAGGGAGATTCTTTCACACACTCCACAGCAAAATCAAATGATCTTTTCCATCAGAAACATCTGTTCTTCCTTGAAAGCTCATCTTTGGCCACCAGGAACCTGAGTTCTGTCTCCAACCTTGTCCAAGACAGACTGTCCAGCCTTGATGGCTCCAGCCTTTCTTCACTCCTTAAGCTCCCCTTTGGGTTGTTCTATGGCTCCCCACTGCTGAGTTTTTACAGAGAAATTATCCCTTTAATCTTGGATTCTTACACCATCTTCCTACTCACTGGTCAAAATATCCTTATATGATTCCTCTACTCTCCTTAGAAAGTGGTGGGGGAATTTTAAATAAATGTTTTTGCTGTCATAAACTTCTTTTTTTCCTTGCCATAATATTATGAGGTAATTTTATTATTCTAACTGTTCAAAATGTTCATGGATTTCTTAGATCCAGAAACTTAGGAATCATCTAAGGCCAGCCTCTCATCTGACATTTATAGTATCTGGGGCCCAAAGAAGTGAAGGGACTTGCCTAGGGTTACAGAACAGGTCTGTGACAGTTATGAAGCAGTGGCCGGCCCCAATCCAGTGCTCATCTCACTGCACCAGGCCTGTGGCACAAATGAATCAAGAGGCTTCCAGATTCAGAGGAACCCAGAACTCTGAACTAGAAGGGGATTTGGAGTTCATCTAGAACAAATCCCTCATTTTAGAGGTTAAAATGGAAACTCTTCTTGTAGTCTCTGAATCCTAAAAATACAACACAGATTAGATGGTTACTTTAAAACATATGTACTTGCCTGGTGGGTATGATTTCCAGGAACGTATACAGACTTAAACTGTTTCATGAGATTCCGAGCTCCAGCAATATCCCGAAGCAAAGTAAAGAGTTCATCCACGGCAATTTTGGACTTGTGAAATGTCAGGTTAATTGAAGAGTCACAGCCTGAAATGATCCAGAGATATTTTCTTGGGTGAACAAATCTTTAAATTCAGTTTTAATCGTGACAGTATGAGCTCGATGTAACACAGTTGGGGTTTTTTTAACCCTATTTTTCCCTGGCTGTTCACCAACTGGGCTGTTTCAATCATCCATGAGCAATGAAACATATTGAGTATAAATGCCTTTGACAGAAGTAGAACTCAGAATTGCCTGGGATCGCAGCCACTGGCTTCAAGCCCTAGGCTGCAGAAGTTTCACAGAAAGAATGCTCCCCAGGGTCTACTACCCTCAGAACACAACTTTGGGAAAATATGAGGAGACACAAAGAAAAACACATGAGAGTGTTGTGACAAACTACTCTTGCTTGAATCCCACCAACAGTTCCCATAAAATAGAACAGCAAGAAAGAGACAGATTACAGAGTTGCTCCATTAACAGAACTTGCTGGATGGGCATCTGTCTAATGTGCTAACAAAGCATACGGCATATTTCAAAAGGCAGCCATTCAAAGCCGATAAAACACAAAGAGTGCCCAATAAGAAGACTGTTCTCGGCAATGATTCTATTTCTTTTTGAAACTTATAATAGATGGATTTATTCTCTATGTTGTTAGAAGCTCATTCAGAAGAGAAATGATCGTGGATGTCAGAAGTTAAAAAAAATAGAGAAAGATTCAAAATGGGCATTTTTTTTTTTTTTTGTGAGTAAGATCAGCCCTGAGCTAACATCCATGCTAATCCTCCTCTTTTTGCTGAGGAAGTCCGGCTCTGAGGTAACATCTATTGCCAATCCTCCTCCTTTTTTTCCCCAAAGCCCCAGTAGATAGTTGTGTGTCACAGTTGCAGATCCTTCTAGTTGCTGTATGTGGGATGCGGCCTCAGCATGGCCGGAGAAGCGGTGCGTCGGTGTGTGCCCAGGATCCGAACCCAGGCCGCCAGCAGCGGAGCGCGTGCACTTAACCGCTAAGCCACGGGGCCGGCCCCAAGATGAGCATTTTTGACTGTCTTAAATATAGCAGATACATTAACTCATTAATCCTCACATCACTCTTAGAGATAGGAGCTGTTCTTTTCCCCATTTTAAGGATGAGGGAAGCAAGGTGCAGAGAGGTTAAGTAACACTCCTGTCAGCAGATACTGGCAATACTCTGCCCCGTCCACTCAGCCAGCCTGGCCATCACCTGTGGGTTTGGGGAACAGTTCCTGCGTACTCTGACTGCTTCCTACTTGTGTACCTGCATGTCTCTCTATCTCTCTGTCTCTGTCTCCGTCTCGTCCTGTCTGAGGGCTCTCTCTGGTTGTACAAGCATGCCTGGCCTTTGTGTAGGGCAGGCTGGAAGTGCTGGGAAGTCAGCTCTCGTAGCAACAACTCAGCTTTCTCATCGCTTGGGGGGCAATTCTGAATTGTGCGCTCCATAGCCTTTCCAAGGGGCCCCAGCAGGACTGAGCCTCAGCTGCCCACAGCAGTTCCTCACTCATTAATGCCCCCTTTACTGGCTTTCCTTCCCTCTCTGTCTCACTTCCCTCCTTCCTGACTGAGCTTCCTGGGATAGCTTTCCAGACATAGTACTTGTACCCACATCCTCTTCTCGGGACACCAGAGCTTCCACAGTGATTTGAACACAGGCAGCCTGGATCCAGGGCCTGTATTTTTTTTTTTTTTTGGAACAGCTTTATTGAGATATGATTCATATACAATTAACCCATTTAAAGTGTACAATAGCTTTTTCTATGTTCACATAATTGTACAACCATCATCATCACAATCAATTTTTGAACATTTTTATCACCTCAACAAGAAACTCCATACTCGTTAACTGTCACTCTCCCTTCCCCCCTACTCTCAGTCCCTGGCATTACTAATCTGCTTTCTGTCTCCACGGATTTACCTATTCTGGACATTTCATGTAAATGGAATCATAGAATACATGATTTTTTGTGACTGGCTTCTTTCACTTAGCATAATGTTTTCAGGGTTCATCCAAGTTATAGCATGTATCATACTTCATTCCTTTTTATTGCTGACTAGTAGTCATTGTATGGATGTACCACATTTTATATATCCATTCAGCGGTTGATGGACATTTGGGTGGTTTCCACATTTTGGCTATTATGAATAATGCTGCTAGTTTTACACGTACAGTAGTCCCCCTTATCTGTGGGGGATATATTCCAAGACCCCCAGTGGATGCCTAAAACTGCAGATAGTACCGAACCCTTTATACACTATAGTTTTTCCTGTACATATATACCTGTGATAAAGTTTAATTTATAAATTAGGCACAGTAAGAGATTAACAACAATAACTAATAAAAATAGAACAATTATAACAATATACTGTAATAAAAGTTTTGTGAATGTGGTCTCTCTCTCTCTCTTAATATTTTCGGACCACAGCTGTTCATGGGTAACTGAAACCGTGGATAAGGGGGGACTACTGTACAAATTCTTGTGTGGACATACATTTTCACTTCTCTTGGGTATATTTCTAGGAGTAGAATTGCTGGGTATTATGGCAACTCTGTGTTTAACCTTTTGAGGAGCTGCCAGGCTGTTTTCCAAAGTGACTGCACCATTTTACATTCCCACCAGCAGTGTGAGAGGGCTGCAATTTCTCTGCATCTTCAACAAAGCTTGATATTATCTATCTTCTTGACTGTAGCTGTCCTAGTGGGTGTGATGTAAGGAGACACTGTTGATTTTGGTAAAGAGAGAAATTGTTTTTAGGGAGTAGACGTAGATCCGTAACCTAAAATGGAGTGTATCTAAAGTACACAGGAACAGCCAAAGGGACCCAAGTGCACCAGACATGGTGGGGTGGCATGTGAGTAGTTGAGCCTGCGCCCTTAATTACTGTGGGACATTGTATACAACAACTCTTGAGGGAGAGGGCAAAATTCTGAACTGTTTTTACTCACAACACTGCTGACACCAAATGTGTGGGATTTTCCCCCCACATCAACCGATTCTCTAACTCTCCAGACACCAACTGAATGTCCTACGATTCAATTCTGACACTGACTACGCAGAGTTAGCGCAGACCACACCGTTTAAGGCGGTCAGTTCCACAAGACTGCCCCCACTTCAGATGCCAGTTGCCAGCCCCACGTTGCCACCTGCAGTCCTGACCAACCGGCTCTCAATCGAGGGTTCCCATGACCCCTTCCAGGTTCAATAATTTGCTAGAATGGCTCACATAACTCAGAAAGCACTTTACTTACTACTACCAGTTTAATCTGAGACACAAGTCAGGATCAGTCAAGCAAAAGACACGCATAGGGCAGGGTCTGGGGGAAGGAGCAGGGAGCTTCCACGCCCTCTTCAGGTGCTGCACCTTCCTGGCACCTTGATGTGTTCACCAACCAGAAGCTCTTGGAACTCGATGGTTTAGGAGTTTTTATGGAAGTTTCATTCCATAGGTGCAATTGATTAAATTACTGGCCATTGGTGATTAACTTCCAGCCCCTCTCCCCTCCTTGGAGGTTGGGAGGTAGGGCTGAAAGTCCTGACCCTCTAAACGTGCCTTGGTTTTTCTGGCAACCAGCGCCCATCCTGAAGCTATCTAGGGGCCTCCAGCCACCAGTCATTCCATTAGCATACAAGATGCTCTCATCACTCCAGAGATTCCAAGGGTTTCAAGAGCTGTGTGTGTGCCAGGAACTGGGGACAAAGACCAACATATATATTTCTTATTGTATCATAAAAATTCCCTGATCAGTCTTTGTCTCCTGGTTTCTACAAATGTCCAACTCATTGCCATTAAAAAAATCAAAGTGTGGTCAAGCCCACTGAGAGGAAGCTTCCCCATGTTCAGTGGACCCTACACTTACGGGAGCCGTGAACTGCGGGGGTGGGGGGAGGTGATGGAGGCAATTCAGGGAATTCGTATGAACTCCCCAGAATTCTATGCCAAGCTTTGTGGAAGGGAGAAAAGGTGTAGTTTTCTGCGGAGCATGTCAATAACCTCCTCCTGATTCTTAAAGAGGTTCATAATCAAGAAAAGTTGAGATCCACAGGTACAAGGCATCTACTGACATCACATCATGCTTGTCCTTGGCACAACAGCTCTAGCTCAGCTACATCAGCTCGTGCTTTAGTCAATAATCAACCAGAAGAAACCCCAGAAGGCTATGGCTTCTCACTCATTCAAGTGGTTTCTTTCTTAAACTCTCAGGCTGAGCCGTTTAAAATATGGGAAATTAAATCAATTATACATAAATGTTGTAAATTGGGTAATACTCTTTCAAATAAAGAAAGACATGAAAACATTATTAGTTCTAATACCACGCATAGTGTTTCAATTCCTCTAATTCAGCTAATAGGCTAACATTTTTTATTTAAGTAATTCATTTTCTACAGAACAGAAAAACCCATTCAGTTTTTCATATTAGGTCTAATTTAATTTTTTTGGAAAGTGAGGAATATAATGTTCATCCATTAGGCTGAGTGGAACAGAATCATCTACTGGATTATAGATTACTGGAAATTTATAGAGTATACATGGAAATTGTGGATTATACATTGGAATTAATTAAGCAAAGGCTATGTAATTGTAAAGAGTTAGGTCAACTGTGAAGCAGGTTGTTTGACAGAAATGTTTACAGATTACTGGTAAATTTAACTCAAACAAACCCAACAGAAAATAAGACTGTCAAAGAAATTGTTGGAAGGAAAATAAAAAATCATAAATTCACAAATAAAGTAAAACTTTTCTGAAAAATAGTCAGTTATCTCCATTGTTCAAACCAACTGGCCAAGGGCAACTTCCATCCAAGCCATCAGCTCTTTCCAACGTGTCTGTTATCCTCAGAGCAAGTGTTCTACAAGGTACATGTTTCTAGGACACCAGACCCAAGGGGGCTCATTTTTATCAGTCTCTGAGCATTTTTCAGATTACATAAATCTTCACCAAAAGCAGGATTTACATTCATTTATCCAAACCCCATAATGAAAGTTACACACACATACTTCAGAAATATGGATCAGAGAAGATAAAATGACTTG